TGTAATAATATATATATATATATATATACATATATCTTTAATTTAAACTCCCCTCTTAAAAAAAAACATTGTAATTTTTATTATAACATTTCTAAAATTGTGAACACAAAAGTGTCGCTGCACAGTGGTTGACAATCGCTGGGTTATGGATTTGTTGTGTAATTTTTCACGATTTATTTCAGATTGCCGTTTTACCACAAGTTTTTTATGAAACATATGGCTTATGTTTTTGCTGTCAACTTCTGGGTAGCTCATCATCTATTTGTACTGCTGATGTTAGTGAAGCTTTCCAGAATATTGTCGATGAAGCTGGCCAGGATATGACCGCAAAGATAGATCAAGTACTCAAAGAAGCCTATGTCATCACTCTCCTTTATGAAGTAAATGACGTTGAAAAGAATGTGTCCGAAATCTTGTTTCCTGTTCAGTTAGATGTCTCACCATGTCCAGGTAAATATTATTTAGTCCAATGTAATACTACAATTTTTGCTGAAATTTTTGGAATTTGTTAAATTTTAAAATCAAAGATGTCTATTTCTACCGCAGATAAACCCTTTTTTTATTCAAGGTTGCCACTCCAAAGGGAAAATCTGGAATATATGTGAGATTCAAAAATAATCTGAAATAACAGGAAAAATGCAAGAAATTTAGACTTTTTCTTTACAAAATACAGGGACTTTCGTTTCTTATTTTCGTCTTTTAAAAAAATGGTGACCACTAAATGTGTAATCTAGGGGATAATGAAAGTTGATATTCCAACTGTACTAAACTATTTAATTTACTATGGCATTATTTAAGTATGTTCAACTGTTCCTCTTTTTTCTCTAGGTTTTTCTAGCAATTTAAACTAGCCCGATGGCAGAACCGCAGTGACATGGCGAAATTGTCACAGAACGTTAAGATTTTTCTTTTGAAAAGTAAAAAGAAAAAAAGTTTTATTTTCTAAAGAAATTTACTCATTAAATTTGAATCGTAATAACTTTTTATCATGCTTAATTTACGCTGATAGTGTTGTAAATTGATGTAATGTTTCGATTGTATATTCGGCAGTTTTATTGATATTTATTGTCACATGGTTTTTAAATATCCCGATATATTGCAAACAATATGGAAAATTCAAATCGTGCATTTGAGTATTTACTATTTAAGGCAACGTAAGAGTATTTACTTGTTGGCAGTTATTATTATTGATTTGATTTCTCCATATTTTTGATATCCGATATTTTTTATACAATATTATTTATTATAACGACCAAATCTCGAAATGAAACACGCATTTGAGGAGCCTGAGCCGCATAATTTCGTCTTCGATTTTTCAGCAATTACTACTGTGGATTTCATGATTTTTATTATTCTGATTATTTACAAAATGAGAAGAAATAATTAATTATTGCGCTTCCCCCTCCCTCAGCAAAATGCAAGAATATCAGCCATAATTAGAATAAAATATTATTATATGTTCAATTAAGAAATATATATATTGTTCTTTTTTTAACTTTTTCTTTTGTAAACACAGCGTTTTTGTTATTTTAAATTAGTAACATATATGTTTGCTATTATTAAAAGTATCTTACAGAAAGATATTAGTGCTAGAGTTTTGTCGCAGATAGCTCAAGAAAATTGTGCCAAAGGGTAAACTAGTATAACTGAATATTGCTCGCTCAAGAGTGCCGTAATTGTTTCCTTTCAATATATTGTGTATAATATATACAGCAAATTTATCTCCATATTTGAGTGGCAACCCTGCTATTGCTACCACACAAACATAAGTTGTTCGGTAATCAAATTGAAAGATGTTTTTTTTAATGCATCGAAATATATTGGAACTGATTGTTTTATTGTTAGGAAAAAATTTTACTTGTAGAGCATCGACTATACATTTCTTTTTATATTACTTACAATTGATATTCCACAATTATATATAATATTAAATACTATTAAATATTAGAAACTGTTATACCTATGACTATTTAAAAAAAATTTTTTTTGACAGAATGATTCTAGTGTAATTCTATTTGTTTTATAATGTTCGTCAAATGTATGATTGTATGCACCTGGCAACCAAATTTAAAAGATATCCAGAAAACCTGTAACTGAAAATATATTATACTTTTTTTCCTGAAGTGCAAAATACAAAATTGCATGCTCATTAATTTAATGTTTGTGTGTGTCTAGCTTATCCAAAGCATTACAGACACAGAATTTTATTTCTTAGGTGTGAAATGCAACCAAAAGGTATTAAGCCAATAGCATGTAGTATATAACGCCAATATTATAGTCCTTTGTTTTTAAATTAATGAAGGAGTAATTATGACTTTTTCTCATGAAAGATAAGATGATAGGAAAGTTTCTTTCTGTATGAAATATTTTAAATGCTTTCGAAATTATGTGTTAAAAGTGTTGAGAGTCAACAAAAAATCAAACCAAACTTCTATAAGTTATGTAAATTTAATTTTGTTTGCAAAATACCTTATTTCATTAAAAACAAAATTGTATTTACTTGTGAATTAAATTGTGATATAAATTGTATTTAAGAAAAGTTAAAATTATTCATAAAAGTTCATCATTGTCATAGTTGGCCAGACAGCCCAATGTGGGCCAATGCCTTTCCTTTTCTTAAAAGTTCATTATATTTTAAAAATGAAAAGTAAAAATTTAGTAGATTTGTATAAAGGAAATTAAATATTTTTAAAATCTCAATGGTATATCATCTGTTAAACAAGCCTTAAATGTTAAACAAAGTAAAAAGATTTTTTTGTAATATTACTAAATAAATAATTTGTTAGAACAAATAAAATATCAGAATATTTAACAGAAAATATGTATTTCAATTAAAAAAAAATTTCAACACCAGAAAATTACAAATCCTGATGTGTTACAAATTGTTTTTAATTGTAAAATTTAAAAATTATAGCTTTTATTATTTGTTTTAAAAAGAAACAGATAATTGTATCAGAAAACTTTGCATTAAAACTTCTTTTCAGCAGAGATGCATTGATAATCATAGAAATTTTAAAATAAGGACATATTGTTAGTAATTTATTTTACAGGAAAACTTTTTATTGAAACATTATGCAGTATTTTGTTTACAATAAACATACAATCTAGTGTTATTGTTTACAATGTACATACAATCTAATGTTATTTCTGTTTTTTTTTTTTTTNAAAAAGAACAACTTGTTGAACTAATATCAACCGAGTTGAAATATTTCCTAAAAGTTATTAAAAAATAAAAATTATGAAACTTTCTTGCTGTGAAAATCATATATATTATTTAATCCAAAACTATTTAATTCAGAATCAATAGATCCTATTTTTACAACATTAAAAATTTTAATCATGTCTAACATGTCTATATTTACATATTTAAAATTCTTAAAACCATTTTAAATAAAACTTTCCTGTGCTATTTTTATAGCTGTACAAAAGTATGCAACTAATAATTTATTTATTTGTCTATTGATGATAAATATTCAATTATAGTTGATTGATAAAAATGTTTTTTCTAAATTAGAGTTAAGAATCAACTTAACATTGTAAATATTCCATTAGTTTTGTTAAAGTAAGTATTAGATTATCCAAAACAAGTACCTGATTATTACAATCCAAATTTTTTTTAATTTTTAAAAATGTCAGAAACTATTGAACAATCGTAAGAATCACTGTCACTTATTCTATTTTACTTCCACAAATCCATATTACAAGCTGATCTTGTGTAGTTTGTCTATGGTAAGAACTCCCCTTGCCACAAAGTCTGAGGTCTGGCTATGGAAACAAGAATAGTACATTTCAGGGAGGGTGCCATACAATTCTGTAATAACCAGAAGATTACACTAAATCAAATTGCTTTATGTTTTTATTTATACATTGATTTTACTTTTTTATTTTCTAATCATATTTGATGAATTTGCTTTTTAAGAGCTGATTTTTTAATTTAGTTCTAGAGACTGCCAACTTTTTGCCGCCGGATGTTCCGCTAGGACTTCAAGAAGGTTATGTTTCAGTAGTCAACTCTCCTCATGATTTTTTCATTCAATTGGCTAGTTGTGAAGATAAGTTAACTGGACTTTCTACAGAATTGTCCGAAATATGCGAAGTCTTGGGTGATGGTCAATACGTGGTGGAATCTCCAACAATTGGCCTTGCTTGTGCTGTTAAATATTCTGAAGATGAAAATTGGTACAGAGCTGAGATTATAAATTTGGATGGTGAATATTTGTTTTTTTCTTGTGTAAAATTCTACAGAATATGATAACTATGCTTTTCCCAGTACATTGATGTGACTGGACTGTATACAGTGTTTTCACTACAGAAAAAAAAATGGGAGAGAATTTCTCACCCTTTCTTAAAAACAGGTTGAGATTTCTAAAAATTAAAAAAACACGAATAGACTTGGGGGGAAAAATATTTTTTTAATTATAATACATTTTTAACATCTTCAAATTTCTTTCTTTTTTTCCAATGCCCACCTGCGTTAACATTATCTTCTAATTTCTAAGCCATTGAATATTTTTGCTGCATCATCATATGGAAAATGCTCTGCATCTACTTTTTCTTCAGCTATTCTCATTAGGTTGCTCAAATGCTCATCAGTCAATCTGTTACGATATTATGTTTTAATTCGGTTTTGGGTGCAAAATGACAGATGTTGAACTATTCGGAATCGCTAATTAAAATGGTAGCATTGTGCTTTCCTATCCTCTACATCTGCCAGCATAGGCTTTTCAATTATTTCTGTTATAGAATAGTGAAGTTATTTCCATGTTCATATTTCTTATTAGTTCTTCCAGCATAGTTTTTACAAATTGCTGTGAATTGTCGATGAGGGAGTTTGGTAATTCATTAACAGCTAAAAATAGAGCTAACTTTAAACAACTTATTATAAAGAACTCATTTTTTTTCTTCTCAACACTTGTAGTAGCTGTTTTGATTTTTTTGATCAAAATGGCGGAAGACAAAATTTTTTCCAAAATTCGAGCGATTCACGCGAGACCGAAATTCGAGAGATTAATAGAGTGCGTGGTCTTCTCGCATTAATCATTTTTTATTGCGAGAAAAGAAAAAAATATGTGAGATTCTCGCGTTCTTGAACTGTAGTGAAAACACTGGTATATGTAATCAATATCAAATCTTAGGGACTGATCAGTTATTTTTTAACATTCTTACTTTTCTCCCTCCCCATTTACTTATTTAAAATAAGTAAAGGTAAACAAAATCTTTCTTTATATATATATACAGTCTCTGGACTTATTATTAGACGCAATATAATATTCTATGTAAAATCTTAATTATCAGTTGATACTATACAGCTTTATTGTTTTGACGCGACTGAAACCGATTTTCACTTGTTTACATTCGTGTATCAATTAGTTGAATTAGGCGATAAATAATATAAATTCGACGATATATAAATATAGAATATTTATTATATCAGGTATTATATTAATAAATCATAATAATTAGACCAAATTAATAGGCACACTGTAGTGTTTAATAATTGCATGTTTTGCATGGGTTTATATGCAATACTTTTATATTTAAACACACATGTAATGGGTTTTCATTCAAAAGACATTTTATATACTTTCAATTTGCATTGATATATTATTTTTTTAGCGTATTGCATTATAATGTTAACTAATTGATACACGAACATATGAGCCGCTCAGAAGCCAATGCTGTTAATTCCATTTTTTGATATTTTCTGATTTTTGGAAATTTTGATGAAATAAATAATAATCTTCTTAGTTATTGAACGATTTACTCGTTGGTTACTTTTTTCTAGGTTAGACAGCCCTTTTTTTAATAGCTTCTGAATATATTGTATAATAATTTCAGAAGCCATTGTGAATAAGTCCACCTTTTATCAATATTTTTTTACATAAACTTTGAAATAAAAATTACATTCTTCTTCTTTCGATATTGTTGGTAACACTGAAAAACAAGAAATTCATAGTAACTCAGGGTTGCCAGACGTAGTATTTTTAATACTATGGTAGTATTTTTTTACCAAAATTTTTTGTAGTATTTTTTTTAGAATGTGGTATTTTTTTTTTAATTATTTTTTTATTTTCATTTCCTAAAACAAAGAAAAGTGCCACTCTAGTTTTGAAGTAAAAAACAATTTTTGAAATAATCCAACAGTTTATTTTCTATTAGTCACTGTATCTAGTGATGATTGAGAAAAATAAAAGTTCGTTTATACTAGTAGACATAAATTTCTTATCTTTTTCAGCTGCCAAAAGGTATAAGTCCTAAAATTTTTAAGATGCTGTCATTATTTCAATAAATACTTACGTTTTTATTTACACATCCTGTACATATCTTGTTTTTTTGCAGAGTTTACACCTCGAAAAAAGAGTTTATACACTTTTCTAATTAAATTAATAAACCAGGAATTTTAAAAACTAATGTATCAAAAAACATTAATTTTCTCAATTGTTGTGTTTTGGACTTAACAGCATTGGCTTTTGAGCGACTCATATACAAGTACAAACTACAAACTGGTTTCAGCCATGTAAAAACGACAAAGCTGTATAGTATCACCTAATAATTACGATTTTACATGGAATCTTAATATATATATATATATATATAAAGAAAGAAAGAAGATGTGCAGATGGTGATGAAAGATAGAAATCCATTGAAAAACAGATTAAATATAGTATTGTCTTTGCTTTCATTTTGGCAATTTCCAGATTCCTGAAGGGAGGGAGTGTTCAGTTATTACTTTACTGATGTGCTAACAGGGGTCTGTCCAGACATTTTGTGAAAGGTTAATTTTTTGTAAAATTGTGAAACGATTACTCGTAATTTGTATAAAATAAACGTTAAGTCACATTCTTTCAACCAGGGTGCTGCTTTTATGAATGTGTGCAAATAGGGTCCGGTTATCGCAAAATTTTTTTTTAGAAATGTGTAACAATAAACAATAAAAGCAACAATAAAATAACAATTGAAAAAACTTTGATTTGCGATAAAATCGACACCAATAAATCACGTCAAAAAATGGTTACATAAATGAGTGATTCTTTACTCTCAATTCGTAATATGTGCTAAAATATACAAATTTTAAAAACCATGCGGAAATGCGTAGCAATAACTGCCAAGAAAAGGATCAAATTATATCGAAATGATTTGCTATGAAATCAAAATGATATTCATAGCAAATCTAAATGATTTGCTATGAATATCAATTAGAATTTCTAGAACGTTTCATAACTTTCAAAAATTGTGGCCTCTGAAACTGTGTGAAAATGTGTAGAAAAAACCACCGAAAAGTCATTGGATTTACGATGAAATCGGCACACACAAAGAGCAATTCGAAGTCAAAACTGGAATTTGAAACTCGTGTATCCTAATAATGACATATTAAAAATATTGGAATTTTCAAAACTATGCCTAAATATGTATCGTTAACTACCGAAAAATAGCGATTGAAAAGCTACATTGATTGAGATTCTGTAAGTTAGAAAATTTCAAATTTACCCTTTTTTGTTTAAAATTGAATTATTTTTTAAAAAGTTTTGTTCATATTGTTACCGCGGACCGCACATAAAAGGTTGGTGGGCCGTTAGTGGCCCGCTGACAGCAGGTTGTGCACCCCTACGTTACACAATAACGAATTACGATTAGTTTGTAAAGTTTTTTTTAAAATTTTAGTAAAAACTAAATTAAGATAACTTTTAAATTGAAGTTTCTGGAATGCAAAATTTTTAATTAATGAAAGTATTGAGAAAAGTAAATTCAGCATGAATACTATAAAAGAAAGTTCAACCAAAAATATATCATAAGCATAATTAGTAAATGCAATTCAATAGAAGTATTAAATTTTTTTTTAGCAGTTTTAACTAATGTATTTTTATAAAACAAAAGTTAAATAAACCTTTCTTAAACATATCTGCGAATTTTTATGCATCATTTTGCTTTTTCAATCATCTTGTTCAGGTTTCCCAATGTACTTAAAAAACCTTGAAAGTCCTTGAATTTTGTTGGAAAAAATAGGGGCCCTGAAAAGTCCTCAAATTCTGTGATAGGAGATTGAAAAGTATTTGATTCTCTCAAAATTAAAATAACTCATGCTTACAAAAAAAGCGCAAAATAATTCAAGCAGAATTTATAGAAATTCAAATCTTTTCTCTTCCTTCATTATCCATTTGTCATTTTCTGAAGGATAGTTAAGGTCAGAAAAGTGAGAGTTCAAGATCCATATATTTATTTACCTCTCCTGTGATTATGATTGGATGACAAAATACAAGTAGGGTGTGGGAGAAATCAATTGTGAGAAAAATAAATATTGAAGCAAACCATGACTTAATCACTGGTTTCATGCAATTTGCTTCCTTTAGTTTCATGAAAAGTTTCACTGTCTGATGCCAGTTTTTAAAAGTTGACAAATATATATCCAATGTCAATTGGGCATTTTTTTATAGTCTTCAAAGTGATTTGAAAGAGTAATATTCTAATCTATATATAACTATCAGCTATTAGTAATATATATAATTTGATAACTATCAGGCATTTGCATTGGTAGCTAGCTGTAGGCTATGCGTATTAAACAATCTACAACTATTAAACAATGTATACTTGTTAAATTTAATGAATAAACTTTTTTTTATCAATTAAGCATTGTGCTATTAAAAATATACTATTTCTGCTTCGATGTAGTTATAAAATTTGGTTTACATGTATTTTAGCAGAAACTATATTACTGGATAGGAAAATTTGATTTTAGGTCCTTGAAAGTCATTGAAAAGTCCTTAAGTTTTAAAAAAAAAATTGAGTGGGAACCCTTTCATCTCATTTCAGTTTACAGTTTTATGAAGGCATATTAACACGTTGAGTGCCCTGACACATATCTCAAGTTATTGACACTTAACTTTCCGTTCAGGCCGCATCAGTCATCAGTAACTCTCCGTTTTAAATATGTTTATAAAACTAAACAATTTGCATTGTTCAGTTTTGTTTTGTAGTTAATTTTGTAGTTTTTTAAACAAATGCTTTTTAATATAATTGCTTAGAATTTATTCTAATTTCCTTAAATTTTATTTATTGCGATCGGGCAGTTCTAATTAGTGCTTGGCCTGATGATGATTTAAGGAAATCATGTATGATGGATCAAATCATGAATCAGGCATGGCTTTAAGCTTATTAATTCAAATGCAATAAAAAACCGTAAAAACGTGAACAAGATAAGCTATTTTGAAATTGATGGTTTTTAGCATTTCGGATGTGTTGTGGAATCTAAAATAAACAATGGGATGGGGTCACACCTATTCTTGGAATTAGTGTGGTGGATATATTAGGGACCCATGTGAGATAAAACCTGTTTCAATCATGGTTTCAATCATGGAAAGAAGAGTACACAAAAGGATTTAGTCATAGTAGAAAAAAGGATTTAGTCATAGTTGCCAACTCTACTGGATTTTTAAGTAGACTACTTGAATTTACCAGTTTTACCTGGTTTAGTTAAAATTCTCCTGTTTTTTGTACATTTTAAAAAATTCCTTAAAATTGAGCAAGTTTTCTAAAAAAAATCCCTATTGAAATAGAATTTTTGTACAGATTATTGCTTGAATATTTAACTAAGTATTAATAAGACATAATAAAGCCAACTTCATTTATAGAAATCAGTTCAAAACTTGTATTGTTCTAAAATTTTCAGTTTATTTTTATTCAAAACTATCTCTTTAAATTAATTTTAAAAAAATCTTTTAACAAACTTTGACGAATTAGATGCCTATTAATATTCGAAATTATGAGTATACATAATTCATGTTTAATATCAATCATAACTGGAAAATATAATAGTTTTTCTATTTTAATGATCTCTAAAATTTCCTATATGTAAAATTTTTAGTACAGTATGCAACAATTATAATGAAACTTATAATTTTGTAAAATTTTCTGGATTTTTTCCTATCCATGTTGGCGGCTATGTTTAGTGCTTTGAGTTGATTTTTTGGATAAAAATCGCAGTGCCCGTCTAAAAACACAAAACTTGAACACTGTTTATGGATATATCCTATAACTTTTGATTGATAAAAACAATCACTACTAAGTTTTTTTCTAAACTTTTACTTTAAACATGTAAAATAATTACACCAAGTAATTTTCTTAGGAAATTTTTAATTGAATAATCATTTTCTTTCTTATTTTCAGATTCCACTGTTGATGTTCTTTTTGTTGATTATGGTAATGTGAGTACAGTTCTCAAGAAAGACCTGAAGGTACTCGATGAAAATTTTCTCACCTCTCCACCCTATGCTATCAGATGCAAATTAAATGGGATTGTGCCTTGCAAGGGAGACCAGTGGTCTGAAACAGTGATAAATACATTTCAAGAGTCAGTACTGGATGCAGTTTTGGGAATAACATTTATATGCAAGGATATACCAGCCGTTGTAAATTTATCTAAAGAAGATAAAGACATAGGTCAGGTCTTAGTGGATTTAGAGCTAGCCAATGTGGATACATGTGCTGAAACTGATGAAGCCTATACTGATGATCACCTTGCTGCACCTATTGAAGATACCCTTCATTCCATACCAATAGATCAGAGCTATCCTAAACGAAAACTTACATCTACCAAGTTACCAGTTAAGATATGCTACGTTGACTCTTACACTAGATTTTACGTCACGCCTTTAGAACTGAGCACTGAGTTAGACACGGTGATGAAGACTCTTGAAATACTTTACACTCAGTGTGCTGACAAATTGGAGAGTAGTCCGACCTGTCTTGAAGAACCTAAGGCTTTTTTACCTTGTGCTGCACAGTACAGTGAAGATGAAGCCTGGTATAGAGCACTCATTACAGAAATTGATGGTGATAATATATATGTCACCTTTGTTGATTATGGCAATTCGGAAGTATCTTCTCTCAAAAGCCTGAAAACACTAACTCCAGAACTTTTGAAAATTCCTCCCATAGCGATGGAATGCAGCTTATATGCTATTCAAGCCATTGAGGGAAAGGACCAAGACTTGTTGGCAAAATTGGAAGAGTATTTTGTGGATGAAGTCGTGCTTGAGATGGAGGTGTACAAACCTGAAGAACCTTATAAAGTGAGATTGTATCACAGTGGCTCTGATATTGCCGAGTTATTTTGCGAAGACGGCTTAGCTAAAGAAGTCATTCCACCTCCTGAAGTCGATCTGAGCTCAAATTTTACTGACGATCTTAAAAAGAGCCTACTCGACGCTGCTGATAAAAAACAGGATGCTGAATTTCAGGTGCGAGAAATGCCTCAAGTTGAAGAACTTACTGTAAATGTTAAGCATTGTGAGGTTGTCAATGAGAAAATAGTTTTGTTTGCCGTTCCTGTGGACTCTGAAGAAAATCTAGCCAATTTTCAAGAGAAATTACAGGATGCTTATAGTGAAAATCAACCGTCATTAGAAAACACGTGCGTCTCAAATTGTTGTGTTGCTAAATATGCTGAAGATGATAACTGGTACAGGGCGAAAATCCTAAATTGTGATGAAGAAGGAATTAAAGTTCAGTTTGTTGATTATGGAAATATTGAGACAGTAAACAGCGACGATTTAAGAGAAATTTTACCAGACTTTCTTAGTGAACCAGTTTATTCTACGAAGTTTTGTCCCTTAGGCTTGGTAGTGGTAAAACCAGACGAAGTTCGAGAAAAACTAGATGGTAGTCTTTATGATAATCCTGTAAACTTGCGTTTGTGTAAATATTGTCAGAGTCCAAATAGTTTATGTTTTACTTCTTTAATTTGTGAATCTGAAGATTTGTTAGAAAATTTTTTGAATGAAAATAGTTTATCTCAAATCTTCATCTTCAATAATTCTCTTGGCCGAAAATTTGATGGTGTTATTGAAAGCTTTATTGGAAATATATTCTATATTTTACCCACAGATTTGTTTAAAGAAAGAGAGGAATTGCTAACCCAATTAATGAAGCATTTCAAAGATGTCAGCACCTCTTTGGATGAGGTTAAGCCGTCCCTTTTGTATGCTGCAAAAATAGAGGATAAGTGGAATCGGGTGTCCATCATAAGTTTGTCTAAAACTGATTCTCTAGTTCTCTGTGTCGATTATGGTGTTAATTCTACTGTTGAGCTTTCAAATTTGGCTCTCTTGCCTTTAGAATTTCATCATAAGCCATTATTGCTACATCCTTGCACCATTAAAGACTATGAAGATATGCCTTTAGAGTGTCGTGAAATAATATTAGAAGGAATTGAGAATGGTAAAACGTTTAAATTTGAAATAGATAATGATTATTCTAATGATCTTATGTTAGAAGTCAAGATAGTGGCTGAAAATTCTATTAATGTTCCAGAAAGTGATAAGGATCAGAAATGCAAGAATCCTGATGATACTGCCGATGATTCTATTAGTACTAACCATGGCCCTAATGATCCAGAAATTTCTGAAACCTTATTATTGAAAACTAAATCAGAGTCAGAAGAAATATCTCCATCTGAGGAAAACGAAGAGCACATGTGTAAAATGTTAGGAGAAGTTGGTGTATCTGATGTTATGGCATCTTGTGTGGATGATGCCAAATATTTAGAAGCACATGATGATAATGAGAGCTCTAAAATAGCCAGAGATGTGAGCAATAATGAAGAAATCTTGTACTGCCCTCAACCACCTGAAAGTGTTTTCATGGGTGGCAAAAAGGAAATTTCTACCGATATATATGATGGAACTAATTGTGAAATATTAGATTATGGTAATGGAAAAGAATACTCTGAATCAGATCAAAGGGATGAAGCCAGTAAAAATGACCAGTATGATTATTCGGAACATGCATTTGAAGGTCAAGAAAAAATTTCCAAAAAGACCAATTCCAATTTTGATGAGTGTGAAGATGATGCTAGAAGTGATATTAGCCCCGACAGTACTGAATTACAAGATAGTGAATGCGAACGAGCTCGTGAACTCTCTGATGTGGAATCTGAAATTAAAACGTCCAACAAGCAAGGAAATGAAAGAAAAGAGACCTTCCCTGAAATAGAAATTTCCAATTTGTCCAATGAAGATCTAGATTTAAATCTTGATGGTCGAAATAACTCTTTGCAGGAGCCTGAAAGTTCATGTTTAGAACATTGCAATGAAACAGAGGATAGTTCTCAAGAACCTGAAAGTTCCTGCTTTGAACTTTCTACTGAAACAGAAGATATTTCTCAAGAACCTGAGAGTTCTTGTTTAGAACATTTGAATGAAGCAGAAGATATTTCTCAAGAACCTGAGAGTTCCTGTTTAGAACATTTGAATGAAGCACAGAATTTTTCTCAAGAACCTGAAAGTTCCTGCTTGGTTGATGCAGAGGACTTTTCTCGAAAGCCTGAAAGTTCATGTTCAGAAAATTTAAATGATGCAGAGAATTTTTCTCAAGAACCTGAGAGCTCCTGTTTAGAACATTTGAATGAAGCACAGAATTTTTCTCGAGAACCTGAAAGTTCTTGCTTGGTTAATGCAGAGAACTTTTCCCAAGAGCCTGAAAGTTCCTGTTCAGACAATTTAAATGATGCAGAGAATCTTTCTCAAGAACCTGAGAGTTCCTGTTTAGAATATTTGAATGAAACAGAAGATATTTCTCAAGAACCTGAGAGCTCCTGTTTAGAACATTTGAATGAAGCACAGAATTTATCTCGAGAACCTGAAAGTTCCTGCTTGGTTAATGCAGGGGACTTTTCCCAAGAGCCTGAAAGTTCCTGTTCAGACAATTTAAATGATGCAGAGAATCTTTCTCAAGAACCTGAGAGTTCTTGTTTAGAATATTTGAATGAAACAGAAGACATTTCTCAAGAACCCGAGAGTTCCTGTTTAGAACATTTGAATGATGCACAGAATTTTTCTCAAGAACCTGAAAGTTCTTATTTAGTTGGTAATGAGGACTTTTCTCCCGTTCCTGAAAGTTTATGTTCAGAAAATTTAAATTATACAGAAAACTTTTCCCAAGAACCTGAAAGTTCATGTTTAGAACATTTGAATGAAGTAAAGAACATTTCTCAGGAACCTGAAAGTGCACGATTAGAAGATGTGAAAAGCACACCAAAAGTGGAAGCTGAAAGCCTATCTGAGATAATCCCTGAAACTTCTATTAAAATACAAAATGACGGCAATGTAGTTGAAGAAAATGATTGGGATGAAAGACCAGAATGTGATATAAAACAAGAACTTTTGGCACATGGTAAATGTTCTGTGCCTGCGAATGTTGCTGCAGAATGTGAAGGACATGGTGATCATAACTTACCTTTAAAGGAAGGGTCTATAACAGATAATTCTTCAGAAAATCAAAGTGATGTAGTTAGTGATTTAGAATCAAATTTATCTGAAACTGTAAACAATCATGACCCACAAAATTTCACAATTAATGAACAAAATACTGTGAGGCAGCTTTCTGAACTTGCAGGAGAAGCATGTGCCCAACAAAGTAAACTAACAGATCCTCCATACAGATTATCTGACGGAAATGTCTTCGTCTCTCACATCACTGTCTCTGGTGGCTCTATTGTGTTTCCCGCCATTCCCAAAGGTCTACTGCCCAAACTTTGCCTATTCAAAGGATCTTTGCAACAAACTTACTCTCTTGAAATGCCAATTCCTGATTCTGTATCTGTTTCAGATTTATATGCAGTGTTCTATGAAGGCGAATGGTACAGGGGAAAAGTTTTAGGCACCAAACAGAAATTGGTCACTCTCCTATTCATAGACAATGGTTTATGCCCCAATATTGAAATGACGGCTGTCCGGTACTTAAATGAGGAGCACAAAGCTGTACCCCCGTTCGCCTTGTGGTGTGTTTTAGCAAGTGCCTTCTGCCTTCCACACAATGAACAGATACTGCAAGTGTTTCTGGATGCTATGTTAAAGGATGCATCAAACACAAAGCAGGATATTGCAGTGAGGGTGATCCAAGAAGGAGAGCCCTATAAGGTCAGTTTATTAATTGAAGGTAATGAGCTTCTGAATGTGCTACTGTCGGAAAAACAAATCATCCAGCAGCTGGACAGTGCTTTGATCCCACCCGGAGAACACCTTGCAAAAGTGTCGTGTTTAAACTCGGCAGGCAGCCTAGAGATGCACGTTAACCTCGTGTCTGAACTCGAAAAATTGAAAGATTTGAATAGTTCCATGCAGCTTACGTACAACACAGATAATCCAAAGTCACCTATAATTGAGTCTGCTGTTTATGCTGTGCAACACAGAGGTGTTTGGAGAAGAGGTCAAGCTGTTACTTCTCCTACTGGAATGCATATTCATCTAGTGGATTCAGGGGAAAAAACAGACATTGAGGATGTTTATCCTCTTTTACCCGAGCACTGCATACTTCCACCCTGTTCTATTCCGTGTGAATTGGGCACAGATGCTATTGTTGCCAAGTGTGATCCCTCTGACGTTCTAGAAATGCTTAATGAAAAAGAATTTAAAGTTCAGGTTGAAGCTTCCACGGCAAAGTTGGCTGATGAACAGTTTTTAATTCACCTCAAAGAAATTTTAGCATCTCTCCCTGCTAAGCATTAGGTAAAATCATAACGAGACTTCATTTTTTATTTTTTGTTATAATTTGAGAAACAAGAAAGCATTATAGATTTTGTACAGACTTCATTTATCCTTTAATTCTCTTTTCAATTATTGATCTTGTCACCTTTTCATAGTTTTGCTTCGGAAGGACGCAGAGCTTCTTTTTTTTCTTTTCAGTTTGCTCCTGTATTAACATTACTTTCAAATAACTGTGTATATGAAAAAGAAAAGACATTATTTTATGTGTAAGCTGAGTTTACCAGGAGAAATAATGTAAATAAATATTTTTTGCTACTTTTGTCTTGATATTTTATTTACCCTAGATAATGATGGACATAAGTTTTATTATATAATATATAAGGATATAAGGAAAGTGTTCTTGTGATATGATAAAATAAATAATTATAATAATAATTGAATTACTTTTAAAATGTATTTAAGAAATAAAATGATAAGCAAATTTTATGTTTATTATGGCGACAGTGCAGCAATCTGAATATTTGATTTTTTTATAAAAAAATTAATAATTTAAAAAGTAATAATAATGAAAGACATGCTTTAGATTTCGAATTGAGAGAATGAAAAATATAATAACATAAACATTTTTACATGTAAAGTGACTATTAATAAAAGCTCGTCCATCTGAAATAAACAGGAATCAACAAACTGAGCATAGCCGAAAATCTGAATTTGAATATTTCGCCATGTTTCCTGTAATAAGATTAACAATTAAAATAATGATTTATAAAAAATAAAAGATAAAGTAGTAGAAACTATGGTAGTTCATAAATCTTTTTAATGATTAATAAAAAATATTGAAATATGGGAAAAAACAAAAGAGTAACAAAGAAAAAAACTTAAGTTTATTTAAAAACATCAGCGTTATGTTGATCGCTAATTAATTTGAAAAAAAAAATTATCAGAGTTACTCTTATAAATAGAATATAAAAAAATATCGAACATTAATTAAAATAAAAACTATTAAAATAACTGCAGAGAAGAAATCTGATATTGCATAATGGAAAAAAAACTAGTAAAAAATAATCTTGACTGTTAATTACAATCTGTTATTTAACACCAAAATTCAATTCTCGGTATTCTAATAAGGTTTATCGAAATATAATAAATGCTAAGAAAAATTATAATGGTCATCCATAAAAATTTAAATTGTAATGTCAAATTGCAGAGATAGAAATTTATTTATTATTTTCCTTTAAATAACTTTTTGATCAGAAATCGTTCCTCGGTCTTAAAGAATTAAATATGGGGTTGCCACGGCACCGGAAATTACAGGGAATTTTTCTCTTGACACAGATGATTGTGCTTCTGAAAAAATCCGGTCCGGATTTTTCTCCAATCTTGATCTGGAGGTTTCCGGAAATCATCGANGCTAACTTTTCATGTTACCCACAAACAGTAACCACGAAACGTAAAATCTAATTAAAATATAATTCAGATTATTAGCCGTGAGTTTAAGAGCTTTTAAAAATTAAATATCTAAGAAAAATAAACACACAAATAGAAATGGAACCGAAACTATTACCTACTACCGGCTTCATTTTTGTAATTTCCGGTAAGTTGGACAGCTGTCATCTGTTACTAAAATAGCTATAACTAAAGTTCTGCTTGACGTGCATTCAAAAACAAAACAGTTTTTAAAACTAGAAAAATTGGGCATTATTATAAAGCAATAAAATAAAAAAGTGATTTTTCGTGAAAATCCTCTTTTTTAAGGTAGTCGGATACCTTAAATTATGATGCATATAATTTCATTTAGAATGTCATGCTTCGAAAATATCAATGATTTAAATTTCTAAAGACGTTATTTTTTTAAATGCGTCATTAATGATTTTACTCAAGAAATTTTCAGGATTTTTGAGTTGGGTTCACAATCGCAACCGGGAGAATTGAGAAAATTTGATTTTTCTCAGTTTTTTTACTCATTGATAAAAAAAATTGATCTCTGCTATCATCCCCCCCCCCAAAAAAAAAGGAATGTAAGCGTCACAAACGAATTCCATTTTCTATAATCGGTTTTCATCGTAGAGAAGAGAGTGAAATTTTAAAAGAAATCTCTTTCTGCAAACAACAAATGTAGATATTTTTATTTTATTTAAACAACAGTTTTTTCAGCTATATCTTACATATCTCAATTAGATTCAGTGTTAGAAATAATTAGTAAAACATTTTCTAAAGACAAAATTAACGTTATTAATTAACAACAAAGTGGTAATTTGTTATTCTCTTTAAAAATTAAATAATTCTCTTTAAGAATTATTTCAACTAAACGACTAATGCTATTCAGATCATTGAGCCCAAGTTTAGTGAAATTAAACATTTATTCCAATTTTAACGAAATATTAAAAAAAAATTTTTTTTTCTTTTTCCAATGTCCACCTGGGTTAACATTTTTTCGTCAGTTCAGGCATTTATCTCTTTAGCCCTGATTTATAGGGCAGTTTTGTTAACCTCTCTTTCAGGGGCACCATCTTAGGTGCGCCAACGTTGCTCCCACAGTAAGGACAGATAGTACAGAGGAGGAAAGAACATCCATGCCTTGCCCGGCATTCGAATCCAGAACCTTTCTGGTTCTGGTGAACCTTCTGGTTCAGTTCCTTAATCCCTACACAGGCCGTTTAAAAAGGAAATAAAATGTTTAAAAAAATATTACAGTCTAAGCTCATTATTAAGATCCCCATTATAGTCCTGTTTCATATTCCATAGATGCAATGTTATTTTGCCTATTCGTACTTTCATTCCAATACAGTAGGGGTGCACAACCTATGGCACGTGCGGCCCGTCGAGTGTTGATATACGGACGGCGGGAACTTCTGAACGCAATAAAAAATTTCTTTTAATTTGGTTTTAGTTTAAACATAAATTTTCCTTCATTAAAATATTTAATTCAAATTTATATTACTCTATAAAATGCGTATATTTTTTGATCTATCATTCTTTAAGCTTCTGTTTGGTTAGAATTTATATTTCCNATATATTTGATAAATTATTTATTGTGAAAAATGAAGGAAAAAAACATATAAATATAAGTTTTTTCATATTTAAATAATTCAGTGTTTAATTTTCTCTAAATATGTTATAAGTTTGCTGATAAAAACATTTAGTGCTTAAATGTATGTATAAAAATTATATTTTCGGCTAACATGACTAAATGTCCGTTCGACCCTTCGTTAATCTACCTTCTGTACAAGTGGCCCTCCACCCCCCCCCCAAAAAAAAANCCCCCCAAAAAAAAAACTGTGCACTCCTACAATACGGCGACTAAAATGTAGTCATTTGATTTAATGAAAGTTTCAAAGAAATTACTTCATCATTATTTCTTTTGATGTTACAACAAAATAAGTGTAAAACACATTGAATTTCATTCGAATGAAGACCCTGTTAATTCCTATTTAACTCCTTGGTCCTTCATAATCTATGTAACTATTTTTTCCAAATGATACAATAAATTTATTAATCACACATTTTTTTGTTTAAAAATTGTATTCACCTGTTTAATGGACTGTCACTTATGTGCTTTATTATCGAGTTAAAACATGTGGTCTTCGTTTTTTTCTTAACATATTTTAGGTATCGAAAATGGTATTCTTGAACCAGCATTCTTATTTTTAACGCGTTTTTCTCCACCGTAAAATATTATTTTAAAGAGTACTTTTACATACATATTAATATGGAAAAAAAGTCTCGTCATTACCAAATTTTCTGTCGGTTATTAAATTCTTTTTCGAACATTCACGATATAGCGACCTCTGGTTATATTGTCCGTTTTTACTCGGACCACGAGGGTCGTTATATCAAGATGCGACTTTATTTTAATTTAATTATCAAATCACAATGCCTTAAGTGTAACTCTTGATAAAATTTTTAAAGCTCATGTAAGAGTACGAAATAAAAGTATAAAATGTAAAAAGGTTCTTCCGCGGTTTAAAAATAATATTTAGTATCATCAATATTTAATTAAATATATTTTATTGATTCATAATATTTAATTCAGGGTCAATTAATTTTACAATGCATGTTTTAACAAACAATGTAATTTTTTTTAATTCCCATAGTTTTTTTTCCTTCCTGTCAAAAGTTTTATAGTATGTTATTAATTAAGTTTTCTTTTACATTAAAATTATACTCTGAATTTTGAGTAGCTTTAATTCGAAATTTATTTTCTGTTTAATGGAAAATTATAACTTGATTGTAGTAGTACTAGACTAAAACTTGATAGACTAGCGGAGTGTTATAGTCTATGATTTTTAATTAGTTATTGATAAATATTTCTGTTAAAGCAAAACTAGTTATACAAAGAAATAATATTTTTTAATTTTAAATGAAGCATATAGGCCGGCAGAGCCTGGTTGGCCCATCTCCAAGAGGTTGTGAGTTCGATCCCCCTCCCTAGCTGAAGACTCCTTGATTAAGAAATAGTGACTGGTGCAAGCTATATCTGTCGGGGTCACGAAGTTCTCCAAGTTCCCATAATAAATCAATATCTCTGGGGTTACTGGATCGGAGATTGATCGTTCTCTGGTCCAAGTCAATATTACTATCTGCAAATTGATGAATGGTGTGTGGATGTGTCTTTCCTGTAACACGGGTTGTGACGTATGTGTGTTGTCGAAGTCAAATTCTTGGCCATAGATGGCACCACTTGAAAAACAAGAAGAAGAAGTTCACTCCTTTGCCTCATAAATAGGCTTGTTAGTATAAGACAACCACAACAGTGTTTTGAGTAGTTTTAAATTTGAATTTTATATTCTGCCTCGTTTAAAAGCAAAATTTCTAATAGAAATTTGAAACTTGATAGTAGTAGTGCACTAAAATTTATAGACAAGCGAAGTGTAATAGTCTTTGATTTTTATATATATATATATATATTAATNTAAAAAAATATATATATATATATATATATATATATATTTAAAGCAATACTGGTTATTCAAAGAAAAAATATTTTTTATTTTATTAATTCTAAATGTAGCATGTGATTTTTTGACTGTATTCGAAAAAATACGCTCTTTTATTAGATTATCAAATATCCCATTAAAATTTGACAACTGTGCCGACTTGGACAGGACGAAATTTCACTAAACTGAAAAAAATAAATTAAAAATTGGTTGAAGAAAACACATATGATAAAATGATAGTAGTATTAGTAAATATGATAGTAGTATTATCCTAACAAATATTTTAGAATTTAATGACGCTTTCGATATTAAAATTTACGATCAAAATGCAAATATAAAATTTGAAAGAGGTAATTCTATTTTTATATTAAAATTAAAAACT